CTTCATATTAGGCAAGAACGTATCGGTTGGAAAATTGAAGCTCTGCCAGAGGAATTTATCGGTGTTGTCATCATTTGCATCTTTTACAACAAGATTACCAGAATCTAAAAGTACTGCAACTGGATTTTGGACTGATCGTGAAGTGTTGGTGGACCATATCATTTCATTTTTGTCATTGAGAAGAGCGAGTATTCCCCGCTTGGTGACCTTCAAAACAACTGAAGATGTATTGGTGAGTGGTTTCTCTCTGTTGGCAACCCATACAACTGTTTGCATAGGAAGAATTTGCTTGTACCATATCCCGATATATCGATTTGAGGAACCACTGAGACTGAAAAATCCCATCTCAAAGGTTCCACCAGATGAAACAATAGTTTCACCATCTGTGATGTTGTGATTTGTAGTGATTACATTTGTTGTAGTAGAGATAATATTGGGTATAAAAGAGTAGAAAGAGAGTAGAAAAAGTAGGAATAAACTAGCTTCCATTTGTAATTCTTAAGCCTTTAAAATTTTGTGCCTATGACAGTACCTTCTGTTTGATAAAATTTGATTATAACTTCTCTGTTATATATATAAATGAAATTGGCCTACATGTCACGGTGTAGGGTACGTTTGGGAAGTTAGCAAATTGTGTGTGGGATTCGATCAAGTAATTGACCTGCTCTGATACCAATTGTTTGGAAAGTTCAATCCAATACACTAGCTTATTAGGCGATCGAGAGCAATATAAGTGAGTAAACCTAATTGTCAGAATAATTAATGTGGCTCAAGTCCTTCTCTGATCTTCTAACTAATTAGTCGTACATACCTCTTAAAAGAAGAGAAGAAAATATCAAAGTTTATATACTACTATTTCAGTGCGACAATAGACCACTCGAGGACCATGTCAACCAACCCCACTCTTAAATTCATGTTTTGGTATTTATCAAACTGATCACTACAACGATGAGCTTTCACTCTTCGGAGATAATGATTTGTAGAGATGGATTTAACATTAAATGTTATGAGATCGTACTTACAATAATCTCAAATTAATATATAATGATAACTCGGTTGATCAAGATGGGGCCTCAATTAGACATGCATGACCAAGATACATAATTTTTCGTGTGACTCCATTTTTATTTTTTCACCCACTTGAGGAGTAGTGATGTGAAGAGAATTAAGATGAAGGAATTTAATGGGATCTAACCATTTGACATATTCTAGCCTAAGAAGAAGTCGTCCCTCCCTATGTTGAAAAATCGTGTTTAATTTCAGGCATTTTGACTGACCTAGGGATCCTCGACAAAAAAAATACTGTATATAGTATATGTATATATAAGGTGATATATCTATTTTGAATTTTCTAAATACAAGATTAGAGGTTGACTTAGTGGTTTAGGAGGTTCAGTATTTACCTTGAAATTCCAAGTTGAAAATTTTAGTCATGATTGAGGTGCGCGCAAAGCTAGCTCCAATATGATTATTATACTCCATCCATTCACTTTTACTTGTCACATTTTGACTTGACACGCTCATTAAGAAAATAATTAATGATATAAGTATTTTATCAAACTATCCCCTATTAAATGATGTTTTAGAAAATGATTTGGAAAATAAGTATTTAATGTTGAGGGTAAACTATGGAAAAAAATATAGTCTTTTTTTGATATATCAAAAGTGGCAAGTAAAAATGAAAACTTATTTAAGGAATAAGTGACAAATAAAATTGAACGAAGGGAGGGAGTAATATATATGAGTGAAGTGTATATAAGAAGTAGACATGTGTGTTTGGAATTTTTGTTCTTCAAATTTTAACCTCTTCAGTCTTCAAGTGTTCAACATACATCAACGTCCAAATTTACTTCAAACAAACTCAAATATGTAACATCAGTTTTATATATCATAAAGAATAAACTTCAATCATCAATTTATTAAAATAACAATAAATTTAAGAAATTCATTTAGCATTCTTTTAATTTTTAATTTCCCGTGTAAATATGAATTTCAATCGTAGCATGACTCAAAATAAAAAGGATACATGACCGAAGCATATTTCAAAATTGACTAAATTTTAGTTATGTGTCTAAAATTTTGTTTCAGTGAAGTGCAGGTAAAAAATGACAAAAATTACCGTCATATATGCTTTTAACTTTTTTTTGGCCAAATTAAATTTATTTTTTTGATTCTTCAAATTTCAATACTCAAACACACGATCGATCAACCTAAATCTACTTTAAGTAAACTTCAATTTTAAACATAAATTTCATATACTATAATTAATCAACCCCAATCATTAATTTATCAAAATAACAACTTTAACAAATCCATTGTAATAATATACTATTGTATGAAGTGGGGCTTTAATTTATGTCTTAAGCTATCCTTTTGCATCTGTATAAACTCTTTTCTAATGATATACTATTACAGAAATAGAATTATCATACTGATATGATTGAGCTTATAACTCTCTCCTTCTCTTTGTTCTCTATGATATTATCAAGGTCCATCATATATCTCCAACAAGTTAATTAATCATCATTTTATGCACTATATATATGGTGGCTTCGTGGATATGGAATATGTTCTTGTGTATTTTGAGAGATTTATCAGAGTGATTTTTAAGGCGAATGATTTTGAATTTTTGACTTTACTTGTCTTATGAATAAAATTTTAATTTTAACAAGCTTTAACTTTTTAATGACCATAATTAAAGGTTTGCTCACGGCGATGGTCAAAAGTTTAAAACCACCATTTTTCAAAATTATTGAATGTAATTTCTAGATATATTCCAGTTTACATCGGGATTAAATATAATTTAAACTGTTGGGTCCAATTTCCGCATCTTAATTAGACGTATTTCACAATCATATATACTATTATCATTTATACTTTCAAAATATTTAGTATCTTACCACTAATTAAGAATTTCCTACCATATATTGAGGAAGATACACTTAGATGCGTGTATTTTTGCTACCAGATACACTAAAATAGGGAGAGAGGTGAGTGAGATGGGAGGGAGGCGAACGAGATTCGTTATGTATCCCATGCAAATCACACTAGATACATATTGTATATGAATGTATCTTGTGTAATTAGCATGTATCTAGGATACTAGAAACATAGGAGAGTAGCAAGTAATGGGAGAGAGGCAAGCGATATTTATTATGTATCTCGGATATATACGAATCCACTTGGATACAATGTAGCTAGAACAAATTACACCTAAATTTGACCCCATGTATCTGAGATACATATATCTAGACGTATGTGGAGGCACCAAAATTTGATAAAATACGTAATATTACAAACTTAAGTGTATCTAAATAATTAACTCATAAATTAAAGGAATTTACGTAGGTTTCCTAATTCCTATCATAAATGAAGTGTTAGGCCCATTCAAAGAAGAACAAAATAACATAACAATAATAATAATAATGGAACCACATCCCATATTATGATCAATTTTTCCTTCACCTCTTTCTTGTGTAAATTGATCTTAGCTTAAATAATGTAAACAATGTTATGACTGATTATATTATTTTGTCAAGTAGTAGTATCAAAAACCAATTGACGTGTAAACACATCAAGATTCCTTCTCTGTAGGTAAAACACCCTGTTTTTTCAACAAATTTATTACTGTACTCATTAAAATAGAATAATTAATTTAGCAGCCTTCATTTTCAGGTCATTGGATATGACAGATCTCAACCAATTTCTTATCTTAGTCGGTGTCTCCATCTTTTGTTTGAACAAGCCATTTCAATATATTTCTACGAGCTTAGTAAATATTCAATTCTTCAACTGACTGATTATCCCATATGGTCAAATACATAATTATTTAGCCTCGTCAAATTTGTTTGCTTTGACCATATATATAGCTTCTTTCTTTTTCCACTAGTGTCCGGAGCCCACATTGGAGCTCCGATTAAATCTGAATAGCGTAATGCAGGGCTCATTCAGGGGTAGGTAGCACTCCCAATAGAATTTTCTCCCGGATTCAAACTCGAGAACTCTAGTTAAGGATGGAATAGTCCACCACTGCACCACAACCATGTTGGTTCTTTGACCATATAGTTATTCTCAAATATATGTCCATATGTTCACATATATATATGATCTAGAACATGCTTAGGTTCCAATTGTTAACGGGGACCAACATTATTTTCTTCAATAGGGTACTAACGTTTACTTGACCTGCCTATATGTGTTTCTCAATAATTTCATGGAAGGTCATACGTTCATATCATAAAAAAATAGTTTTTCTAAAATGTGAAAGTTGATATCGTCCTATTAGGTCATTCAGGATTTCAACCGTTAATTCTTCCTAAAATGTGAATTTGAAAATAAAATTTATTACTATATATACTACATGTAAAATAACATGACAGTATAAAAAGTTTGTCTACGCACCATATTAACTTTAAAATGTTCATAGTACCTTTAATATAATGATTTATAGTCTCACAAACATGTAGACTGATTTATAGTGATAACTCATAAGTTTCAAAAGTCTTTCTTTTTTAAATTCTCTGTCAAGTCAAACTACATCATATGAATTGGAACGGAGGGCAAAGGAGATTAAACCATGCAGTTACCTTGCGAGTTGCACAATTCTCTTGTTTTTTTAAAAAAAATTGGCTTGCGCAAGGACTATGAAACGAAGCAACGTCACACATTCTACCGTGGACTACATAGCACATATGGGCCAGTCAATAACTAGTTGCATAATGCAACAAAACTTTGTGACCAAAAGTCAGGCCTTGGTGGGTTGGCTCTAGCACTAGCAGACTTGTGACTTGTCACTAAGGAGTACTTCCAAATTTAGGTAAAGATGTCTTATTACTTATGTCACATCATGATTATGAAATTTCTCTCTTCTTTCCGTCAAGAAGAGGCACTAAGAAACTTCAAATCATTATATGAAATAAGGACTAGTAAAAAGTTAATCTAAATATCAAAGGGCAATATATAGGCGACCAAATTAAAAGGTTTAGGCATCAAACACATTGATGGAATCTAAATACTTCATACTTTTCTTACTATCTTTCTACTCTTTTATACCGAAGATTAGTTCTACTACGACAAATGTAATCAATACTAATCGGTTCATAACAGATGGTGACACTATTGTTTCATCTGGTGGAACCTTTGAGCTGGGATTTTTCAGCCCCAATGGTTCCACAACGCGATATATTGGGATATGGTACAAGCAAATTCTTCCTTATGTCCAAACAATTGTATGGGTTGCAAACAGAGAGAAACCACTCACCAATACATCTTCAGTCGTTTTGAAGGTCAACAAGCCGGGAATACTTGCTCTTCTTAATGACAAGAATGAAACTATATGGTCCACGAACACCTCACGATCAGTCCAAAATCCAGTTGCAGTGCTGTTGGATTCTGGTAATCTTGTCCTAAAAGATGCAAATGATGACAATCCAGAAAATTTCCTATGGCAGAGTTTCAATTTTCCAACTGATACTTTCTTGCCTGATATGAAACTCGGAAAGAATTTTAAGACTGGTATTGAAGTTTACCTTTTAGCATGGAAGAACGATAACGATCCAACTCCAGGGGAATACAGTCTCCACATTGATCCTACTGGATATCCACAAGGCCTCATTAGACATGGGGCAAGGGTATCAGCTCGAGCAGGACCATGGAATGGTTTACGGTGGAGTGGAGCACCTGCACCACTACAAACACAAAGCAGCATATATACTTTTCAATTTGTTTTCAATGAAGAGGAGGTTTACTATAGTTTTTCTCTCATTAACAACTCACTGTTAACAAGGTTAGTCCTGACTAACAATGGTTTTATACAACGTTTGACGTGGGTGGATAGGACAAAGAGTTGGCATCTTTACCTCAATATTCCTCTGGATACTTGTGATACATATAGCTTATGTGGTGCATATGGGAACTGTGTCATAGATAGTTCTCCTGTTTGTGGATGTTTGGACAAGTTTGAACCTAAATATCCACAAAATTGGCAAACGGGAGACTGGTCACAAGGGTGTGTTAGGAAGACACCTATTGATTGCAACAAGGAACATGGATTTCTAAAATATTCTGGAATCAAGTTGCCAGAAACTAACAACTCTCAGTACAATAAGACCATGACACTCGAAGGATGTAGGCAAGTATGCTCGACAAACTGTTCTTGCACAGCTTATTCGAGCCTAGATATAAGCAATGGAGATAAAGGTTGCTTGTTTTGGTCTGGGGAGTTGATTGATATCAGAGAGCTCTCTGGAAGAGGACAAGACATTTACATACGAATGGATTCTTCAGACCTAGGTAAGAACTTATGTTAACGAAATTTCTAATGATGTGTTTTTGAACTTTAAAATTTTTGAACATATGTAGACCATATTATATATGCAAAAGTAGTGGCCTATATCAATTCGAAGAAGCTAATTTAGAAAATGGTTGTAGTATCTCAGGCAAGTTCAAACAAAAAGAAGACAGGGACAGTACTTGCAGTGAGTTTCTCGTTGTTGGTGGCAGTGATTCTGCTAGGCCTGATTCTGTTCATGTACATACGTAAAAAGAAGAAACTAAAACTCAAAGAAGATTTTGAGCTGCCACAGTTTCAATTGTCATTAATAACAAGAGCCACAGATAACTTTTCGGTCAACAACCAGATTGGAGAAGGTGGATATGGACCTGTTTATAAGGTATAAACCAAAAATTATTGGAATAGTGACCAGGCTAGAGATGACTTTCATTCTGCAATACTCACGTCTTTGTATAACATATTTCCTTCTGATATACTTTTTCCATTTCAAGGGAGTGCTCGAAGAGGGACAAGAAATTGCTGTGAAGAGACTGTCAAGGACTTCCATGCAAGGAATTGATGAATTCAAGAATGAAGTTACCTATATTGCCAAGCTTCAGCATAGAAATCTTGTGAGACTTCTGGGTTGCTGTATTCAAGGGGAAGAAAAGATGTTGATCTATGAATACATGCCTAATAAAAGCCTGGACTCATACATATTTGGTTTGGTTTTCTAAACTATTCTACAAGCTAAAATGACATGTTTTCAAAAGTTGCTAACAAGAAAGCTTTTTTTTTTTTTTTTTTTGTAGATCAAACAAAGAAAAAGTTACTTGATTGGTCAAGGCGTTTCGACATCATTAATGGAATTGCTCGTGGCTTATTGTATCTCCATCAAGATTCTAGACTACGTATTATCCATAGAGACCTTAAAGCAAGCAATGTTTTGTTAGATACAGAAATGAATCCAAAGATATCAGACTTTGGGATGGCTCGAAGTGTTGCAGGAAATGAGATGGGAGCTAAAACATGCCATGTGGTCGGGACACAGTAAGAATCGATCATACAGAAGTACTCTCATATGAAATTCCCCTTCTCATGGTGTAGTTCTTTTTTTGGAACAGCGGTTACATGTCCCCTGAATATGCAGTAGATGGAATCTTCTCAGTAAAATCAGATGTGTTTAGCTTTGGCGTATTGGTGTTAGAGATTGTGAGTTGCAAGAAAAATAGAGGATTTGTCCATCAAGATCACAACCTTAACCTTCTCGGTCACGTAAGCACTCTCTCTATACATTCTTGTGATCTATATTACATATAGAATTAATTTGTCATGATCTAAATTACTCAAACAGGCATGGAAGCTTTACAAGGAAGATAGGTCCTTGGAACTAATTGATGAGAAGCTAGCTGAATCTTGTCATATTTCTCAAGTTTTAAGGTCAATTCAAGTGGGACTATTATGTGTGCAACAATGTCCTGAAGATAGACCAAACATGTCTTCTGTGGTTCAAATGCTAGGTAATGAGAGTTTACTTGCAAAAGCTAAAGAACCAGGATTTTTCATGGAAAGAACGCTACATGATTCAGATAATTCAGGAATGCAGACAGGAAGTTCGAAAAATGAAATAACAATGACAATGTTAGATCCTCGGTAGAGTAGGCAACTTTTATTCATACATATTACATGGCAGACAATACTTATATGAGATCCTCTCAGGTTTTGCCAAGTGAAGTTTGGGTCACACTTATAGAAAATGTGTTAAATGCCCCATTTCTTTCTCTTTCTCCTATTCCGTATCTTCTTCTTCTCCTTTTTTTTCTTTCCGTTTCTTCATAAAATTTTATTATTTTTCTTATTAAATATATTTATTCATCAAACTTCGAAACTTGATTTCTTTGCTCGTGATTTAGTTTGGATCATTTTTTATCAAACGAAAATTAATTTAATTAATTTGATTTTTCAAATGTTAAAATCAAGTCAAATTAATTAAGTCGATTTTTCATCACTTTAATTTTTTTAATTTTTCTTGCTATTTGGTTTTTGTGGACTTCTCGAAAATATACAATAAAATAAAATTTTGGTAAGGTATATATAGGATCCTTCAAAAAAATAATATTATGCATTATCTAAGAATTTAATCATTTCTAAGAAATATGATAAATTATTTCCAACGATTTTACTATTTTCTTACAAAAATTAAAGATTTAACGACGATATATTAGGATGTCTTGTTAATATTTGATTTAAATAAAAATAATCAATTAAATCACGAGTTATTTTGAACATGAAAAAGCACTCTCGGCATTATCAAAATAAAAATATAAATTAAACTATAAAGTAAATGCAAAGAATTTGATTATTATAAAGAGAAACACATGAATACTAACAAAGAGAACAAAAAAAATATTTCTAATAATTTTTTTAATTTTAAAGAAGTATATATATATATAATCATTACGGACCATTTATTAATAAAATAATAGGATGAAAAAATTTATCCTAAAAAATCAATGTCTGATCTTTTATAAACGAACACAAAAATTAATTTATTATTCTAAAATTAAAACACAAGATTTTATGATTTTTTATTTTTAGTTTCAATTTCTTTAATCTTATTGAAAAACTATTTTTTTTCTCATCACATTCACTTTACGTTTTGCTTAAATAAATGATATAAAAATAAAATAACAAACGGAAAAGGGTCAAATATATCCATGTACTATAGGAAATAGTTTATATATACCCTTTGTTATACTTGTGGGCCAAATATACCCCTCCCGTTATACTTTGGGCCAAATATACCCTTTATCCGTTAAATATGTGGGTCCCAACCTTAGAATAAACATAAGAAATGTTGGAATTAATTTTAAAAACTCAGATCATTTTTATTCGGTTAATACCCAAAATAACTCACTAAAGTACTTTCTTTGCCAAATCCTCAATAAGTCAAACAAAACCAAAACTAAATGTTTGTCAAAAAAAATTGTCAACTGATTAGCTTCAACTGATACATGAAAACTCATTTTTATAACTAATGTTCCCATTTATTATCCGAGTTCAATTCTAAATTTTTTGAAAGTTCAATTAAGGTGGTGCTTGAAAACTCCATTGATTGGATTGATGTGCTAAAATTAGAATGCACATTAGGTGGAGAAGTTGAAAACAAAGTTGTTGGATTTTTGTCTTTTGAATTTGTTGCCGATAAACTTTTAACGTTTGTGATTGAAAGTTGTTGTAAATCAATCGAGTATTGAAAAATTATTTAGGTTATTGTTTCTTTAAGCTGAGATTTTCTCGTCTACTACGATTAAGTTGAATTCAATTTTTGGGTTCTTTGAATTCAAAAATAGAGATTGAAAAATCAAAGTTCTTCAATAATTCTTGTTCATGACTGATCGATTAAGTTACTGAGATTTTTGAAGTATTATGTGTGTTTGGATGTTGAGAATCATCAAGTTAAGTGAATACAATTATTATTGAAGTGATAGAAACTGATTTGAAGAAAACAACTTTTACATTACTCCATTGTTGAGATTTGAAGCTTTATTGGAGTTGGGCTATGGGTTATTTTTGCTTTTGGCAGGGACATAAATTATTTGGGTTCATCTAATTAATCTCAACCCTTCAAGTAATTACGTATTTTGGGTATTAACTGGATAAGAATGATCCGAGTTTTTAAAATTAATCTCAATCCTTCACATGTTTATTCTAAGGTTGGGACCCACATATTTAACGGATAAAGGATATATTTGGCTCAAAGTATAACGGGAGGGGTATATTTGACCCAAAAGTATAACGAATGGTATATATAAACTATTTCCTATACTACAGGGGTATATTTGACCCTTTACACCGAATAACAAAACATTGTGGCCAAATCTTTAAAAAACGTACAAACTACAAATGAGGAAAAAAGAATTGTAGAAGAGAAAGTTTAAAATGAATGAGAAAAGTAAGAAGATGTAAATGAAATGGGTAAAGTATGGATTCCATATTGTACATTTGACAGTCAAAGAAATCCTCATACAACTGACAAAAGGTGAGCCTCTCACAAAATAAAATTTTTAGGCAACTACTGTTGATAAGCATGAGTAACAAATATGTATAAAAAAAATTTGATCTTTTTACAATAAAGTGATATATTAATTACTTTAAAGGGCGTGATGACGACATTGAAGCTCCCGAGAAGCGCTCAAGCATCACCTCGGGGATTAAACGTGCCTTTGAGTATTTAGAAAAATGGTTCATAATTGCCATGCTATTATAAGCAGCTATTCAACTTGATTTTCATTTGTATCTTATCTTAGAAAAAAATGTAAATTCTAGTAAGCAAAAATGTCCAAATTATATAGCCTATAATAATGCATAAAATCAAATCAAACTGACAGATACACGAGCTCTCCAATATCTGCATGGAAGAGTCCAATATGTCGTTGAAATTAAAGGTCCCAAACTTTGGATTCCCATATTTGAGTAAAGAGAAGAAGATAGGAAAAAAGGCCATAAGCCCACATTGACCGTGCACGGCCTTTCATATCCATCTCGGCCCATTATTAGGGAAAGTAATCGGGTATGAATAGATAAGAAGGTGAAATTTGAATCCAACCCGGCCCATAGTCAGTTTCGAAAGTACTCTTACTTTTCATTTTAGTCCGGTTAAAAAAGAATAAACGTCTTTTTTTGATAATTTTTTAAATTTTAACTTATCATTTACCATGTTTAAAATGATAGATTAAACGTCATTTTGATACATTTGACATACTTTCATTTAAAATCACAAGACTGAAAAGTCTTTTTTTACTTTTTTATTTTATGTGTCAAGTCAAAATAAAACGAATAAATTAAAACAGAGACTGAGAGAGTATGTAACTTCTTTCCTCTCTTGGGTTGATCACATAAAATTCATTTTGGTATTACAATAAATAGATCTTTCGGGTTCAAGTTATATCGTCACATATATATTATAAACTTCTTTTTTATGTATTTGTTAAGAAAAATGAAGTGAACAGGGGATGTATACATAATTAACTTCATTTAAAAATGTTATTTGTAACCATTTAAGACAATAGTACCAACAATTATTTATATACTTACAGGTACAATTACAAAAACGGATACTTTTTCAACAAATTATTAAAATAAAGAACAGCCTTTTTTTCAGGTCATTGGATAGGACAAATCTTAAGGAATTTTTTTTATCTTAGTGAGTGTCACCATCTTTTGTTTAAATAATCAGTGTCAATTTTAGATATTTGTTTTCTAGAATATATTAGATATGTTAATGTAACTTTAATATATATTTTAGTAAGGTAGTCGTCGTTTGGTTGTTGTCATTGCCAAGGAAATTGAAGACCTTTATCACGGATATTATCTTTGGTAATTATTATCGTCATCTAGTACTGTTGACAGATTGTGATTTCAGTATCATAATTAATTTTAATTTTTTGTCTTAATTAAATTGGGGAAATTTTGGTTGTTTGTTTGAGGCTTTTTCTGTGTAGTTCTTTCTTGCTGAGGATATTCTTTTCTGACTTTACAGAAACTTAGGCGCTTATAAGTTTGTTAATTTAAAATTAAATAAAGTTAATGCAATGCTACCTTGTGTATTTTAAAATGTGGAACTATTTATCTTTATTTATTTGTCTTTCTTGGCTCCATATTTAGCTTAATTTGTTCAGTATTTACCTACCATTTTAAAAGAAGCATTCTTTCTATCTATTTCTTTTTTTCTCAAATTCTTGTGGAGATGATTTTGCTCCGACTTGTTTTTTTTTTTTAAAAATAAAATAAAATAGATTTTCCTAAGCTACTATTAATTACTCCCTCCAATCATTTTTACGTATCCATAAATGAAGTGTATATTTGATCATGATAGTTGTCTTAATGGATGTATAGTCGTCTTTATAATAGGTTGTAATTTAGAATTATGAGTAGTTAATACGAAGGTAAAATTAAAAAGAGAAATTGTTTTTTTTTTTTTTAACAAATAAAAGTGAAAATTTATTTTCGGTACACAAATAAAAGTAAGTGGAAAATGGACTGAAAAGTTTCTATAAACTTGCGGCTCAAAAAAACACAAAATTCCGTTTAGATTTTATTAATTATGTCAACGGAGTTTTAACAAACCACGACCTTAGCTTACCAAACAAAAGTGTTCATGAGGAACAAAAGTCAAGAGTTAAAAGATGATATATCAAAGTCGAAAGTATAGCATGAACTGTAATCAACTTTCTTTTGTGTACTTAATTGTCAGTTATAATTAAGTTCTTAGTTCTTAGAATTTTTGTCTTTAGTGTGACGTTATCGTGAATTGATAAAATTAATCGTTATTGCATAAAAGCTGATTTAGAATTTAAGTTATTTGATTTAATTCTAAAGATTTTTAGTATTGAAGTTATTATATTTTTCAAAATTATAAACTCATACCTACAATTTATTGTAATTTTAGTGTATTTTTTTCATATAAATTTATATTCAACTGAAAAAGTAATGGATTCAAATGAACCGGGCGCAACACTACTATGTTGTCTTCGCCACTGCTCGCCAACTTATGGACGTACATCGTTGTAACTTGTAGCTAATTAGTTAGAAATGTTGACAATATTGTGGCTGCTTTGGTGTCATGATATAATTAACTAATTAGAAGTGATTGTCATTGATTTTTTTCTTTTAGCGGTAATATATTTTTTATCATAAAAATTTGTAGTACAGTAATAGTTAATGTTATTGCATTGAAAGTTGTTAAAGACTTTAACGATATTTATATATATAATATTGGTATTAAATATTAATTATATTTATTATTGTCGCTAAATATGATATTGTGACAATTATATTATTATCGTACAAATTATCGCTAAATCTTTTATTTACTATAGTGTGTGTTTCTTTCTAATATCTGAGTTTTTATACGAAGTGATCACACACTTCAACAAGCCACTATCTTAACATCAAAATCGAACCTATCTTGTAACAAATTTTGCATGTAATAAAAGTGGACAAAGTACACAAGAAAAATCTTGATTTAACTTTTTCCTTGAGGGAATCGAGTTAGATTGGACTACCTATATGTTCATTGCAAATTATTTCTGAAAAAGGGGATCAATCAACAGAATTCTTAAGGGTGGAATCATGTACGAAATATAATCGATCCCATTTATATCTTAGACATTAAAAAATCTTATCAAATTAGTACTAATATTGAAACATGCACATAGTACCTTTGCACGCTAAAACCCAGCAAGTTATGCCCAAAGAGACCAGAACTTGTTGCAATAGGAATATTTTATTATTTCGAAATATGTCATGAGTTGTGACTGATATCTCCTCTGAGCATTCAGAAATAAGGTGAAACATATGTATGGCTAATATAAAGTGCATATGTATTAGTATATCTGTGAAAAATCAGTCAAAAGAAACAAAAAATTCAAGAAAACAAGCTCTAAATTAATGGAAAGGTGTTAATGTTTGTGCATTGACGGTGTAAAAAATATATTCACATAATCAGGTCACTTAAAAGGTAATTGTATGTAATTCTATTAATAAACATTGATTGATAAACGTCAAGAAAAAATGATGTAGCAATAATAAAATCGACAAAATTAGAGAGAACATGCTAAGATATAGTAATAAACAAGTTTATTAGGGTTCTCCAACCTACATAAAGCATTCACCCCTCTCCTTTCACAACAAAAATTTACAATATAATAAAATGTCAAATAAAATGTACAATAATAATAATAATAATATTATTGTGCCATAGGGTATCTTAGTTCATCAAGTGCACCTTCTTGAAGTATAACACCTTGTTGAGAATTACCTCCATCATTAGAAACAATAATTGGAGGAAGAGGAAGCACATAAGGATTCATCGATTCCCAGTCTAAATTTCCTCCAGAAGTAGACGCAGACTTATCGATAAACACATCATCCTCGTATAAAAATTCAAGACCATCTAATTTTTGTTGATGATTATTTATCATATGCTCAAATTCAGCTGTAAAATTGCTAGCTTCCCCATTCATGTTGTATGGATCAGTATTTGGCGTGGTCATGTTGTTGAAGACATTGTCTATTGGAGACGAAGAGATTAAATTGATATGATTTTGATACATTAGCTGCATCGATGAATTATCGATAGGATATTGAGAATTTGGTGACACAACATTTGTCAATTGGTCATTTTCTGAGAATTTACCTCCAAGTTTGATTAATAACTTTCTGATGGATGTATGGTCATTATTTGAGAATTGTATTGGCTGTTGCATGATGGGAAGCTCAGGCCAACAAGGGTTTTGGTTCATGTTGTTGATGTTATTGGAAATTGTTGAGATAGAGTTGATTTCTTTTCCTTTTCTTGATCCTTGCTTTTGACGTTGTTTCCCAAACAGCTTCTTCTTTAGCTTAGTATTCCAATAGTTCTTTATATCGTTATCAGTTCTTCCAGGAAGTTGAGCTGCAATTATTGACCACCTGACATAATATTCCTCATACAATTCAGTAATAGAGCTAGATGTAACCAACGAGGTTCAATTGAATTTCTGTTGTCTGACCATTATAGTGCACAAAATAGGGTACAATCAAATTAAATGTGTTTGTGTATATATACAAAAAAATAAAAAATAAAATCTCCTATTGGTATAATAAGGAAAGCTTTCAAAAATTATTTTAGGTCACAAATTCAAGTGTCAACCGTACGTAATATTCCTATATTTTCTGAATCTCTTAAGAAATTTTTTGGCTCCGACTCTACTCAGATTCTGGTATTAACAACTAGCTAATATTTCTAGTAAGAGAGAGAGAGAGAAGATATTAATGAGAAGAGAGGGATAAAGAACATGATTTGAAGAGATTAATTAAGGGTCTTAAATTAATTACCTGCTTCCAATACTTATGTAGAGGCTGCAAATGATCCTATCTTCTTCTTCTGAAAATCCTCCATGCTTGATGTTTGGCCTCAAATAATTTAACCATCTAAGCCTACAACTTTTCCCACATCTCTTAAGGCCTAAATTTTTCACAAAAACAGCATGATTAACATTATTAATCATGGTATGCATAAGAACAAAACAATCAGAAACAACAACTAACATGACCCTTGGTCCACACTTCAAAGTTTGTGACATCTCATCGGTCACACACTTCAACATAGTATCAGAGCAAGCAAAGCAACTGAGACACTTCAACACACTCAGTATCGTAGGAGTACTTCATGAACTTACCTAGGTCAGTACTATAATTTTCATCAAGATAAAAAAAAGGAAGGTGGAGGGGAGGGGGAATTAATTTGAATTTTTAATACCAATTTTTTGAGGCAAAGCAATCCAGTTTCCACCAGTTCCATTTTGCTCAATATATGACTTCAACTTAGCATCTTCTTCAGGTGACCATGGCCCTCTCTTGACATTGTTTTTGTCACAACAAGGAGCTCTCCCCATTTCTTGATATTTTCACCTTAATTTCACTAACAAAATAGTTTTAATTAAGCTAATTATATCCCCTCTTCTTCTTGTTGAGTGTATTTTACTTTAATTTGTGTCTAGAGAGAGAGAGAGAGGAAAGAGGAATAATAATAGAGATTAATATATAATTATAAAAGAGAGAGGATAAACATGTTTTAAGGAGCAGTCAGAAAAGTAGAGTATGGCTAGATAGAAGATGATTAATGCCAGTAGAGAAAACAAGGGTTTTTTCTTCTTGTCTTTCTCTTAGTCGAATCATTAAATATACACTAGACTTTTTTTAAAGAAAAAATTTGGAAGTTTATGTCTTGTACCTAAAAAAAAGTTGGAACTGTATGTCCAATAAATTTAATATCTTATTTATAAGACTATACGTACCGTCCATTTGAAAATCATTGACATATGTATTATTACAAAGTCTTCGCTAAGGTAAATAATAGGCGAGCTAATATTACAAAGTATATCTCTATCGAGAAATCATAGTAGCTCAGTTAGTTAGTTGTCTTTTGAGTTTTCTCTTTTATTGCTGAAAGTTTGATTTCTCATGTTCTACTTCACATTTCACCTTGCCAACCTTCAAAAATATTTATCGCATATTGGATGTATGGAGGCACAACATGATCATGTCATCTAAAAGTTTAAGTTATTAAAAAAAGCACGTTATTAATTATATTTTCAACATGTCCCTCACACGTAACTTTGATTATATATTTTTTCTTTTTATTTTTACCCTCCCTAGGAGCTCCCACCCTTTTTGCTCTCTTGGTGAGTCGAACTCGCAACCTTCGGATTGGAAGTAATGCTTACCATTCGAGCAACTCTCACTCGTCAACTTTGATTATATGTAATACGTGGTTCAGTATTTTTTTTACTTCCCCATTTTGGTTTTGTATCACCTTTACTCCACTAGTGTTTAATTACCTAGAGAATGAGTCACACAACAAATACAAATCTTGTATAGAGAATACTAGTCTACACCTAATTAATTTGATGTTTTCCTTTTTTTTTTTCATTTTGTTTATTACTTAAATTTCCATCAAACAGTAAACAATATTGAAGTAATTTGGACGCAATCATTGAGAAATCATGAAATTTTACAACTTCCTAGAAAGTACATATTAGCTAGGTGGGCTAGGGCTATAAACAACGAAGTCAAATTGATGTCGGATTATGAAACACTACAAAGTAAAAACCATCAAAAAGTTCTAGAAGCAAAGTATGTCAAGGCACTCAAAGATGGCAAATTCCAACAACAAAACATGAAATCAGCTACAAAATTTATCGATAATCTCTAACTAATTTACTGCTAAAATATTTTTAAGTAATTGAATTTTCTTATAATTCATCGATATTCCATAGCTGAATGAAATTAGCATGGATTTTTATTGTTAAGCTAGAAAATTTTGTTCATTCACTAACTTTTTATTTTCTTGTGAAAATAGATACTTACATAAACACAAGAAAGATTTTCCGTTTGGGTAGGTGACCAAATGACCACCAAAGTTAGAAATGCAAACACATTTAATTGGACTGTATTTTGATTTTTTGAGTATATATAGAGTTAATATCTCATATGGTCACTCAACTATGCACTATTTTCTCAGAAAGTCACTCAATTTTGGTTTTTAACTTCAAAATCACTCAACTATGAGTTATTTTCTCAGAAAGTCAATCAACTTTGATTTTTAACTCAAAAGTCACTTAACTATGAGTGTTTCACTTACAAAGTCACTCAACTGTGAGTGTTTCACTTACAAAGTCATTCAATCTATTTAATTGATTTTTTTCATTAAAACTTACAAACATGAAATTTCTATTTCTAACTAAAATTATAAAAAATAAAACGATATTCATTTAAACCATTTAATAACCCGATCCGTTAGAAATATATTACTTTAATGATTTAATTATTTTTTTCAACTGAATTTACTAACATGATTTTTTTATTTCTAACCAAATTTTTTAAAAAATAAAAGGATATTCATTTAAACCAATTAATTAATTAAACTATAGCACTCTAAAATCAACAACATGTAAAGACCATTTTACAAAAAAAAAAACATGTAAAGACCAAATCTTAATTAACTTAACGGTAGGAGAAACATTAGTAACAAATTCAAGTCAGTTTTTTTAATCACTTCTTTTGGTTCCTTCATTATGTATCGTTGTTACTAAAATTTTGTATTTACTAAAAAAGTAATTTTGTAATTTCTATATTTTATGAACAATGCATGGAGATCGATGTATTCACACACAATTGGAGAAAAGGGGTAAAATAAAAGGTAATATATTATATTTTTAGCGGATCGAGTTATTAAATGATTTAAATGAATATATTTTTATTTTTTAAAATTTTAGTAAGAAATAAAATTTTCATGTTTGTAAGTTTAATGAAAAAAATTAATTAAATAGATTGGGTGACTTTGTAAGTAAAACATTCATAGTTGAGTGACTTTGTAAGTGAAACACTCATAGTTGAGTGACTTTTGAAATAAAAACCAAAGTTGAGTGACTTTCTAAAAAAACATCTCATAGTTGAATGACTTTTGAGTTAAAAATCAAAGTTGAGTGACTTTCTGAGAAAATAGTGCATAGTTAAGTGACCATTTGAGGTATTAACTCAGTATATATAGCAGTTTCAAAATTTGATTACTTCTCTCAAATTTAGTAGATACAGCTAATTAGAGTATGTATTGACAAAGGGAGACGAGTAATTAAACGTTTTAAAGTGCCAAATTTGGCCAATAAAGGAGGTCTCTCTACATTTGTGCCAGAACAATAATTAGATATTAAGGATTAATAAGCAAATGTACTCTTCACAATAAGTTAATTTTGATCTCCAAAGGACAATTAAATTATCAAGAAACCAAATTACACGAGTAAATTTTTATGTCAGAGTATCCAATTGAATATATATTTTTTTCCTAATTTGCATTGTTCCAATCAGATCGACGGTGTAATCTGATTTTCTTACATGGTCACAAGCAAATTCTCATGATCAATTGAGCTAACTTTTTAAAGTGAAATAGATTCAAGATTTATTTGCAATTATGTACACATCTTAATTCTCATCATTTAATTGATGTTGGTGCCCCATCTTATCTATATCACCCTCCATATATCCAATCCTGGGTGTGAGGGAGAGGAAGCGTTGAGTTTCACATCAAGTGAATTATAACACTTTAATCTCTTTATATGATTTTGGACAATCACATTTCATGAATCAATCGGAGAGATTCGAGAATCTTCCATGAAGCAAATAATGTATGACAATATGAAAAACAGGAGGAGAGGGGTGGGGTTGTAAAATGAGGCCCCACCAAAGATGGATAGATACATGACAAAGGTGCAGAGAACTTGGCCGTTGGGAGATAGTGCTTACTGTCACATCATTGGACTTGCATACTTGACCTTATTACTCTTCTATTCTAATTTAACAAATCTCACACTTTTTTCCTTAGATTAGTCATTAGCATGTGTTACACTACCATCTAATTTGACTAATTGTTGTCTATTCTGAAATTTGTACGTCTTTTATTGATATTTAGTTTTGGATCTTAAAAAATAAGTAAAATACTGAAGATAAAATATGAAAATTTTGATGTACTAAATTCAACAAGTAAAAATGAAAAAATATTTTTAATATAGTGAAGAAGTAAAAATAAACGAAGAAATTATCTAATAGGCAAAAGGCATAAATTATCTCCTAAACTTGTACCCAAAAATCATTTACACACTTTAATTAATGGAGAGACCTATTACACACCTTAAGTACATAAAAGTGTATGTATTTCCCCCTTCCGTCACTCAACTCAAGGCGCGTTTCGCTCTACATAGTTGAGCGCGTCAACACGCTAATAAAGCCATTTTTATTTATTTTTTTAATTAAAAAAATCCAATCCAACGGTTATATTTCCATTCTCTTCTTATAACCCACCCACCCGACCCTAATGAACAAGAACCCTAAATTTTCACCCAAAAATCTTAATCAAAAACCCTAAATTCAAACATAGATCAAAATTCCTTCTTTTGAATTAAAGGTAACTCTTTTTCATTATTATTCATTCATCTCTTTTCCATTTTGATTCATTCCTCTCTTTTTCATTTCCACAAAATTTCTGCTTCTTCAATTCTCTCTCTGAAAAACTTTGGTGACTTTCTGTCTCCACAGCCCCTCCTGTTTTGGTGTCCTTCTCTCGCAAAAAAAAAAACTTACAGAAAATAATATCTGGCATGTGAGAATATAATCTACTAAGTCACCATCATCTGCTTTAAAAACACTACAAAATCGAAGAAATCTTTAGCTAAAATTAGGATTTACAGACGAAATTTATGATTAGGTCTTAGAGAAAGGAAACGGGTGGGTGAAATAAATGGACTAGGGTAAAATAAAATGGATTTGGGTGAAAAGAATCGGATTTGGGTGAAAAGAAATGGGTTTGGATAAAATGAAAAGATTTGGGATCTTTTATTACGTGGCTTCACTAGGAGGCGAGTGGCTCTCACTCTAGGCATAATGTCCTGGGTTGGGTGACGGAAGGGGGAAATAAATATACTTTTATGTAGTTAAGATGTGTAATAGGTCGTCTCATTAGTTAAACTGTGTAAATGACTTTTGGATACAAGTTTAGGGGTATGCCTTTTGCCTATCTAATAATGCCGTCACTATTTATGAAGGCAAATGCGCGACAGATCTCCTGGTTAAATTCCGTTGCTGGCGGCTACACTTTTTTCTAATTGTACTTGCTTCACATATATCATCGAAATGACTCCAAATTAAATTATATTGCACCCTCATTAATATTATGGCCTATGGGCTGTAAAATTGAGTCAAACTCATATAATTAGTCCAGACAATAAATATGGACAATAGTGACTTTGAAGATAAATTGATTTGAATTATGCTCAAGCTAATCCACTAAAAAAACATTCAACCTTTAAAAAGTGTTTTAATTCATGAAAATGTATTTTTGATATATACTGCTCATTTGGTGTTGATGTGTAACAATTAATAATACATTCAAATCATTATTTTATAAGTCT